CTTCCTTTTAATCCTTTAATTATTTTCTTATGTAATGATATAAAGTTGTCCAAGTCCTTTGACAACTGTGCACGGCTCCATGCAGCTTACATTATCTTGTGCAGTTCTTCTACCATGTGTTGGCCACATAAAAAAAAAAACATTAGCAGCAATTCGACATTATTAAATCTGCTCCCTTACGAAGATTCAGCTGTTTTGCTGCAGTTTTTTTTTTTACCTCAAACAGAGTTACTTTTTTCTCCAGCTCGTCAGTATTCTTTGCCATTTGCAGATAATTATTCGTCCACTGCTGCTTGATGCCTCTCATACTAAACATTATTTTTTATTTTCCCAGGTAAGAACCACTGAGCTATATAGTTCTTTTCCAGAAGCCACCTGGCCACAAATGATAGCCCAACGAAGCAGCTTGTCACGTGGACATTTGTTAGCAGCCAAACACTCGACACGCACGTTTCTAAATGTGGAGGAAAAAAACCAAAAGACCCGGAGAGAAATCCACACGACCATGGGGAGAACACGCAAACTCCAAATATATAGGCGTCAGGGTCTGGATCGAACCCACGATCTCCTGTATTTCATGCGAGGGAGTTAACTTCTCACCACTGCCCACTTGTTCCACTGGCACATCCTCGCCACGCAAGTATGGGGGACTCGCGATACAGGTGTGATACAGGTGTTGTTGTTTTTTTCCACTGGATATTTGCAGAGCCGAGCCACAGCCAATTCCGGCCTCACGAGACATTTGAATCGGCTTCCCAGCCAAGCCAGACCAAGGGGCGGGGGTTAATCAGGATAATCCTTGCTTGTAACATCAGTGGCACGGCTTGGGTTCTGCAGTGGAAATACAACCTGGCACCTCCTGAGCTGTGTCCCAGATGGTTTGGCCCAGCCGTAGCAAGGCTCGAGTGTGCATTAGGAAAGAGTTATCAGCGAGATTGCGTTTGGTCATGCTGATCCTCCCGTTCACAAGCCATTAAACCTTCATGACTTCACAGTCGACTGAATGTTCTGTTTCAATGTGTTTTTTTTATTCTTAAGTAGTTATAAAGCTATATTCTTACAACGCCCTGAGCAAAAAGACCAGTATGGAATATAACCACGATTTATATCCCAACAAGGCTGCATAAGGTGTGCAGTGATAATAGATTCGTTTATACATTTCCACCAGAAAAGGCATGCAAACTGCACCACCAGATGGTAAGAAAGATGAAATAGTAACTTCTTCAAGAGCACGCTCTGTCTGTTTAAAGATGAACATATAAAAGGCTGCAGAAATTAGGCTCAGATCGCAGCCCAGTTAGTATTACGGCAGTCCGAATCAAGCTGAGTGGTGAATGAGAGGAGTCTGGGTATGTTGACCAATCTAATTTGACAAAATGCCAAATCACTACAGCAACTTCAGAAAAGGCATTCTTGCAGTCCAAAATATATTTGAAGCAGAACCAGAACCACGATGGGAAGGATATTAAACAGCAGTGTTCGAGATACCAGCAGAGATGTGCTCGGTCCAACAGTGAATACAATAAATACAAAAATGGGCAAACGTTCTAACAAAATAAGCTATGTAAAATGCAAGAACCTTAAAAATAAAGGATTGGATGGCTCCTAAGAATAAAACGCGGAGGATGCAGGCTAAGACACAAGAGCAAACTCAAGTCAGCAGAGATTGGTATAATCAGGTAGATGATATGTACAGTTATTTTGTAAACGTGTTCTAACACTGCATGTAGGTGAATGAGCCCTTTTGCTCATTCGAGAAGGGAGAGTGATTGTGTCGACTCTGCCGCTGTGGTGAAGCACTGTCGTTCGTCTCGACGGCCTCCCGTCACTCGGCTACTCATCAATGCCTCCTGCTAAACCGTGGGCTTGCAAGCATCACACACCAACTCTTGTCCTCATCCATAATTTTTCGGCTTTCGAATTTCATTGCATGAATAATTATACAAATAAAACATGTCTGGTAAATTGTATGAACTGTGTTTTTATTTTTTGTATCCATTATTAAGCATCCATACAGGAGAATTTAGTTGTTTCAGAGGTATACTTAAATTAGTCACAATATATTCAAAACAATATTTTCTCAGAACATGGTCTCCACTCATTGTTAAAGCTAAGATATGGTAAGCAGTCACGATTTGGATGCTGAGCAAATGCATTGTACATCTGCTGTCTCGTCTGCTGATCGACTTTGCAAAATTAGAATTAATGCATATCTAAATTTAAATACACTTGATTTGTTTAATGTAATGTTAAACTACTGGTGGATGGACATACCAAAATATACAGTTACTGATTTCGTTTCTTTGGATATGGCATTTTCATTATTTTATATTCATTACATTGTATTTTTATTGCATCATTGTTGGTTAAGTGATATTTTGTTTTCACGGGTATTACTTTTTTTGCCTTAAAATATATGATTTGCCTTTTCTACAGATATATTTTAAAAAATAAAATACATTTTAAATGTGAAATATCCAAATCCAATAAGCTACAAATAATATCTGCATGCTTGAAACTAATTGTAAATATTAGCACTTAAATATATATTTGAAAGCTACAAAAGTCGATCTCGTTGCTTTATAAAAAAAAAAAACACTACGTACTTGCTATTACAATATACAACACAAATATTGCATTTTATTTCTAGTGGCGGTATACAGAAAATTATGTAATGAAATATATTCTTGATATCACACGCTGCAACGTAATATCATCAGTCTTGCGCAACCCTCAACACAACATACTTCATGGCTGGCGTTACCTTAAACAATTACAGAAATAAAAATGAACTGTGCAATCGCTCTCATTTTTTCTACAAAAAGTAAATGGGAAAATTTTGAACCTCCACAGAAATGAAAAAATAAATACCCGATAGACCACTTCACCGTTTTAGGGAAAATGCGCTCAACAGCAAACAGCAGGTGGTGAAACTCAATGCAGCAACTAGAGAGTCGAGAGCTCCTTCCTGCCATAAACCGGCCAAATTCATGGCTTCCGATGCGTGCGCGATTCAATTGCAGTAGATTTCTCACAGGCTTTTCTCAATTAAAGGGATCTGCATTGCGTTTGTTCAGTGGCCAGTGCTGGGCCTCTTGGTGGCTGGCAGGGCACATAGCCACCACATTTAGATGCTTCAGCGCCTCCTGCACGCAGCAGCGGCCCTGGTGTGAGCGTCTGCCTTATGACACCGTGACAAATTTCATCTTCAGACACACACTCCTGTTTTGTACATTCGCTTTTTTTGTATTAAACATAGCAGATTAAATACGTGGACTGCTGCTCGTATTGCCAACCGTTGGTTGGTATGAAAGGCTTCTCGGTGTTTCGTTTGCTGCGATAGAAACGTTAAGTGGCACGTGTTAACGGGGATTGTTCGGGGAGGAGAGCAGACAAAGGGAATGAATCTGGTAAGAATTTATCTTACGAGTTAATGGCTCCCATGTGTGATTCTCGCACCAGGCTCTTACAGCCAGCAACATGGGCGAGACGAATTTGCAGTGCGTCATTCCTGTAAATGTTGCTGCCTAGTGAAAAATACTTAAGCATAGGATTCACAAACCAAGCTTAAATCACACGCTTAAGAGTATTGCACAGAGTTGGCCTTTACAGATGGTTATCTCTTAACTGTTGTGCCATCAGTTTTGAAGCTGATATTTCTGTATTTACCACGGAATAACGTTGGTGTTGTAAGGTGCATTGCACGCAATAATTTACACCAATCGCCTTTGAGCCTAATTGACGACACAACATCACGAATAATTCAGTGCTTTTTTTTTTCTCTCTCCCTCCATGTGACGTTGTAAAGCGACCACAGGAAAACAATATTGAGGAATCATTAAGAAGCAAATGTAATGCATTAAGATCGAGTGCGAAGTGCGAGAGATGTGGAACACAGGAGAGCCAGCTGAATCGGTCACACCACTGGGTGATTTATTGTCTGCTCGCCTAGATTGGGTTAAAGCTTCGGGCAGCAGAATCTCTTAAATGGAAAATGAGCTCTCACTGCAAGCATGGAAAATTTTCAAGACATATTTCCATTTTATACCTTGTGATTACCCTACATATTTATTTTAACACATTTATTTGATTGATCAAATAGAAACCATATGTGGGCTGCTGAAATTAACCATGTGTTAAATGTGAACTCGTCGTATCACACCGACTAATCGACGATGTTACTGGACAACATATAATAAGATGTGTGTGCATGTGTGAATATTGTTAAGAAATATCGCCAGCATCAAGCAATGTCAGCAATTTGAGCGACACAGCAAGTACACAGCGTGCTCATATTTCACACTTCAAGACACCTCTTTTAATATCTACTGCATATATGCACACATAGCATTCATTAATTGTCAAGTTTTCCTTTACATTTCTGGCACGTACACACACGAAAGCAGTAGTTGGTTTCATATCTGCTGCACGTGAGCTTCGACACATTAATGCCTCCAGGGCGCACGTCTTACGGAGCTTAGCTTGCGAGCTCTATGATGAATAGGCTGTTTATGTGTGTGTGTGTTAATGGCCAGAGTTCATTTGTTTCCAAAGGCGACGGCTGCTTAGCATGCACCGAGGGGCCTCGGCACCGCCGGTCCCATTTTGCGTCGTGCGCTCGGCTCCCGTCCGCGATGCGGCGCAGCGCGGATTCGGGTCGCGCCGACGATCCCCGCTGTTTTTTTTTTTATGAACGACATCGCTTTGCATGCGACACAACAACAACAATAACGACACAACAACAACAATAACGACGACAGCGAAATGTAGGGAAATAAAACGCCAGGTTCCGTACACTGCAATGACACGACCGTACAGTTAAAATCCTCACCGTAATACTTCAGAGCAGGTCCAGGTATGTTAACAGTGAGACAACAGGAAAACAAAAATAAGCCCCGCGTATTTTGAAGGATCGTTTTTTCGTATCAAAAGACGAACAAAAAAACCCCCAAAAATGATCCCGGCCGCACAAAGAACCTCCTCCGCCTCTCACCACCCACCTCGAGCAGCGCGCACTCGCTCGCCACAGGCTGCTGATGCTGCTGCTGATGCTGCTGCTGATGCTGCTGCTGATGCTGCCCGTGCGCTCTCCTCCTCCTCCTGCGCTCTTGCCGTCCTTACGCTCCTCTCTCCGCTTCTCCCCTTCTCTCTCTCACACTCTCTCTTCCTCTCTCGCCGAGCAGACGACGCAGCAGCCCTCTCGCTGGGGGGATGGGGGGGGATGGTGGTTTGGGGGTGTTTCTCTTCCCGGGCCGCTTCGCTCGAGTGCCGGAGCGGAGCAGCGAGGAGGCACCGCCGCTCACCGCCTTGCCCCGTGCCGGAGATGCGACTGGTCGAGCGACGCCCAAACCCGCAGCACCGCTGCTCCGTCTATCACCATGGCTACCCGGTTGCCATGGCAGCGCGGTTTCCATAGGGAAACGGATGCGGGGGAGTAGGAGAGAGGAGGGGGGGGTGGGGGGGTTGGGGGGCGAGAGGAGCGCGCGCGCTCCACTCGGGGGTTGCATCCTCGAGCAGCGCGCTGATCCTCTGCGCGCTGCGCTCCGAACCCGGCAAAACCCGGGTTCGATTACCGGTCACGGCCAACACCGGTGACGATTTTTTGAAGCGGTACTGGGCCTCCTCCCCTAGGTCGACTCAGCCTCAATTGAGTCGCTGTGTGCGATGCGTAAACATCGTGACTACGGGGCACAAAGGCGGACGGGCGGGGTGTTTATCCCCCCCCCCCACCACCACCCCCTCGTGTGCCGTTCGGGGTGTTCGCTAACAGCACTTGCACCATTCAGTCTGTGAAGGCTGTACGGGGGGTCTTTGTGGCGATATGGGCGAGCCAGACGCGACGGGGATAACGACGGAGCGCTGTCGTGTCGGGGTTTGCATTCACGAGCAGCGGTGCGTCTGTGCGTGTTTACACGGGCCTTGTGCTCGCTTCTGGATCGCCGTGCCTCCAGCGAGTCATCGTCCTTCTTACATCTTGGGTTCTTCACTTTGCCGGAGACTGACAATGAGCAGATGGCCACGCGGCATTGTGGACGTGCGCGTTCAAAGCTGCTGCATCATTTGCAAATGCCTTGGTCAAAGAAGTTGATACATCCACCAACGAAAAAAAATATATAATTGAATGATTGGAAATATGGACATTTAATGAACATTCATGATTTGTTTTCGTTATTGGTCTCGAGTATGTGAAATGCTGTGATACCTCTGCAAATCTACCCCGGGATGACGAGGGCGTGCATATGCACACGTTCTGCAGTTCTTTGTCCAAGGCTGTCCGAGGCACAGTCGTGTGACCTCCTCATTCGCTCTTCACGTTTAAACACGGCATTAGGCTCTCGTGTTCGAAATATTGAAGTTTATTAAGTAAGTCTTGACTTAAAGCTTTCGTGACTGCATGACTTAAAGCTTTCGTGACTGCAGGAATTTATATTCTTTGGATCTTTCGGTAAGGCCACGTAGATAGGTTCAAAGAAAATAACAAAAAACTACGACGTTTCGATCATGATGACGACCGTTTGTGTTGCGATCGAAACGTCGTCGTTTTTTCGTTATTTATTTTGAACCTATCTACGTGACTTTACCGAAAGACCAAAAGAATATTTATTAAGTAAGGTTACTTAAATACCCTTGTTATTATACGCTTCTGGGGTGAAGCAGTGGTTGTGATCGGTTAGCACACATCACTGTGAACCCGGCAACCTGGGATGGATTCCTAGCAACGGCCAACATTAGCGACAAATTAGATCTGAACCCACCCTGGCAACCGTAAAAGAGTACACCATTTCTCTTTTTTTTAATTAAGCGTTGGGTGCTGTTCATCTTTGATGGTTTTCAGCCAGTGTCAGGAATCCGACATTCCTTTGACAGGTACCAGTACATCCATATTTCATATACAGATTTTCATAGTTTAATTACTCCTGTTTCCCATTTGAGGTGCTTTTCTGCATATCATACTGCAAGGGCACGATGAGCATCGTGCGATGATGATTGCATTTCCATGTAGAACGCCAGCAGCAAGCAGTGCATGTGGAGTGAAACGTACGGTGCAGCAAGGCCGTAATTATAATATATATTGGGGGGGACATCTAATATTCAAATGTCCCTCCCAATAAATTGCTAAAACAATATTTTAAAAAAATTGCTATGCTATGTAAACAATTTGCTAAACCTTGGCCACAATATCTGGACTAGTCTTCATATAACAATGCATAGATGTCTGTCTATATGATTGTGGTTATGGTTGTACTTTATGAATCCCTAATCTCTGCCATTACATACAATGAAACAAGAAAAGGTGAAAAAGAAAAAACAGAGCAATGTAATACAATACACTATTAAACATTATTGTAAAAAATAATAATGAAAAGTCAATCCCATGTGTTAGTGATTTTTTTTTTTATATTTTAGGCAGGAAATTCGTTTTCAAATTTAGATTTTTTTTTCTGGGGGGGGGACCCCTAGACCCCCTGGAAGATTTTGTCCCCCCCTCAATGTTGACTCCATGGCTACGGCCTTGCGGTGCAGCACTACCTGGTGTCGAAAATCTCAGGCTGTTGGCCCCTTCATGCTGCACGGGCTCATGGCCCTCTCGGAAAGCGCTTCTCTGCTCAAGCAATCGACAATCTTCCGCTGTTCTGCCGATGGCCTGTAGCGAATCCGTGTTTGAGGATCCCTGCTCTCGCTGTAGTAAAGGTCACAAGGTCAAGACCCAGCTGGGCTTGAATTTTTTTAAAGACGTCTTGGTTTTATTACAGAGAGAAAGAAACACGTGTACGCTTTAAATAATGCAAGAGTATATTTTGAAGAAAAAAAAACATACTTAAATTATTATTTTTTAAATAAATGTAACAGTGATTTAACAGTATTCGATTAATTGACATTCCAAAATTTTACGTCAAATGAGTCGTGTTTATTTTTTATTATTTACGAAAAGGTGTGTACGTAATGTGAATTTAACCATTGTGTTGAATTTAGACAGGTTTTGTGCATGATGTGTTACACAGCGATGTATTGGGAATATGATTCCATGTAACCTTGCAGAGTACAGCAGAATAGCACCAGCACAGACGCGACTAACTGGAACATAGTGTCCACTGTACATTATAATCACATTCAAACCAGGCAGCTCCGGTTCTGTACTATTCTATTAAGGTGACCTTTAATGACCCACGATATTTTCCCATCCGTGCGCAGTTCCGACAAATATAAACAGCGAATGGGTTCTGTGCAACACATAAAACACGTGAGTTACATTTATGAACTGTACATTGATGCGTGGATCGATAAATATGTCCCAGTATTATTGTCTCGTGGTCCTTCCCATAATGCAGCGCCACAATGAGAAGTGACAGAGTCGAGGTCATTGGGCTTTAAAACAACAAAGTCTTCAAAAACAATGCCAGGCTTTAAAACAACAAAGTCTATAAAAAACAATGCCAGGATTTAAAACCCAAACAGACTTTCTCTGCAGATTTCCCTCCCAGTAAACGCACCCAGTGTCTAGCAATGTTGTGCTGTTTCTGCAATCCCTGCAAAACCTAAATAAAGTTGTGTGCTAAAGGAAATTACGCTAGCGGGAACAACGTGTGGCCTTATTACATATCGCGCATGGCATCGAGATTATACAACACCACATCGAGTCGTATGGGGAGGCCACAGGTTTAGATGTAGCTAATACTATTCTACAATAGGAAACAGCTCTGTTAAGCTAAATGAATAAACAACGCATATCTTGCATCGCTGTCAAAGTAAATACATTGGAAGCTGATACAACGTTCCCAGTGTTTGAATCATACACTTGCTCGTGAGATAAGAAACATCAGGCCTAGCTTTGTTATCGATCTATGATTGAAACAATGGGGAGAATGCAGATTGGAGCAGAATTTTTATGAAGGCCCATGACATTCATTTATGTACTATAATGCAAGAGTCCGTTATGAATTGTGGTTGTTTTATTTGAACAAATACTACCGTATTTTTCCGCATATAGCCCGCATACACATATAACCCGCAGACGCATATAACCCGCAAAAATAGCGTTTTGTGCAAGGGGCCGTCTATAAATGACGTCACGTACCTAGGGAGGGGGGTCAGATTTTTGTGACGATGTGTGACGAGGGGGGGGGGGGTGAGAAATGTGACGTCACATCAATATGCGCAACTTTCAATAAATATAGAATTGTTATAACAACACTAATTGTTAAAACAACACTCCTACAACATCAGAGTGCAGCGCCACATTAAATACGCACTACGATGACAATAGTTTAAAGCGATTTGAAGCATTTTTTATTTTCAAAATGAAAATATGGATTTGGGGGGAGGCAGAGCTTTGTGACGTCATATTTGAGGGGGGTTTGACTTTTTATGACGCCGTGTGACGAGGGGGGGGGGGTCAAAAATCGTCCAAAATCGCATGACGTCATTTATGGACAGCCCCTAAAACAAATTTCAGATAGTCTGCATCGTCATATACCCCGCATGCATTCATATCTTTAACGTCGTTACCGCAGCTTAATTTCATCATATTAATATAATATTTACATTTGTAATATATGCCACTATCAATTGTTAACATTAAAATCACAACGTGCACAAAGAAAACAAACTAACCGGAAACGAATGAACTTAAAACAGTAAATAAGTAACAAAAGTAAATATCCAATAAATAAGTAACACATAACTGGCAGATGTTAGGCTTACCAGCATTCGACCTCATCATATTACAGCTACTGGACCGGTAGTTACCCCTGTACAGCTTTAGCACTGGTAGATTGCGCACTGCGCAGACAATAGCGGCACTACGGTAACGCCATTGCCTCCTGGCAACAAAGCCATTGGAAGTTTGAAACAAAGCTCATGGTTGCGACTTTATAGTGCTCAGCCAATAGCAGCGGCCTAAGGGACTCAGCAATTATGATTCCGCGACTGGTAGACGCTTGTTAAGGCCCTTCCCATTGTGCAATCCAGAGCCTCAGCTGAGACTATCGCACCCCCCTACAGCCACTGAAAGTATTACGGTAAATAAAGTGCGCCCACTTTAAACATTGTCGTTTCATTGTACAAACAATTAAAATAATTTAAAACGTGATAACATGTGCAATTTTAGTGTGAGTGGTTTATTCAGCAGTGCTTTAGTCAAAGGTAAGTGTTGCATGGTGGATAGTCCTACCATGAAAAAATTCAAACGAGTTATGACATGTCACATGTGTAAAATATTTTTGGGATAGCCCGCACCTCCATATACCCCGCAGGGTCTTGTTTTGTTTGGTGGTCTACCCCGCGGGTTATATGCGGGAAAATACGGTACTTGAGATACAAATACAATGAGTCACATGTCAACGTGCCTCCTTGCTATAAAACGCATGGGGTGTTGGTCATCCCAATAGC